ACAACAACTGTCAGACTGACTGTAAACAATATCAAAACAACAACAACAAGGGTCAGGCTGACTGTAAACAACATCAAAACAACAACAAGCGTCATAATGACTGTAAACGTAGGCGGAGGGAGGCCACCCTCTCATTCACCGGGGTGAACCCCAACACACAGGCACCAAGTTGGGGGGCAATAAGTACGCCCACTCCTGCTCGGCACCTCTCACCAGGGGCAACTCCAGAGTGGAAGAGTGTCCAGCCCCTCTCAAGGAAACTGGTTCCAGAGCCAGAGCCATGCGTAGAGGTGAGTCCGACTATTTCTAGCTGGAACCTCTCAGCCTCACACACCAGCTCAGGCTCCTTCCCCACCAGTGAGGTGACATTCCACGTCCCAATAGCCAGCTTCTGTAGCCGAGGATCAGACCGCCAGGGTCTCCGCCCTCGGCCACCACCCATCCCACATTGCACCCGACCCCTTTGGCCCCTCCAACAGGTGGTGAGCCCATGGGAAGGCACACAATTACGCAGCGCGTAATTACGCACACAGAAGGCGGAGGATGAAATGTTTTTTTGTGCAAGCAGGTGCTTCATGTTGTGTCTGATTGGACCCAGTGAGGTATAGACTACATCCTGCTTCGCCTTTAACCCACTAGCGACAGTCTTAAAGGGCGAAGCCTATACGAAATAGAACGTTGGTTACATACTGTTACCCCAGATTCTATGAGTATACTGTAGGTGTAGCCTTTTAAACTCTGGGCCTCATTGGTTCCTAATTGGCTGAAGAAAAAAGGCTATTTGGGAGCCGATTACCCGGTCTCACCGTAATTTATACGGACCGGGGGAAAGGCCCACACAGCAGGTGGGCATGGACTAAAGTTTTCAGTGCAGCGCTGAGTGCCTTAGGGATAAAACCCACTAGCGAGAAGCCTTAAAGGGCTACGCCTATACTCATAGAATCTGGGGTAACAGTACGTAACCAACATTTCAGGCTGATTGTAACACATCAAAACAACAACAAGCATCAGGCATAGAACCTCTCAAGAACCTTTACAGAACTATCGTCCAATCTGTGCTATAGATTAGCGAGGCGCTACATGCAGCAACATTAGCGTACTTAAATTGGGTCAGAACAGCAGCCATGTTGTTTGTTGTTGATCCAATGCAGATGTTAATCCACTGCCTCATTAAAGACTTCCAGAGGTTCAGGAGATATTTTACTAACAGACTCATGTCTAACCTTGAACAGCACTGGATACTAATGTCTGCCCTCTGGGAACCAGGACTAGAACCAAGAAACAGTTCTGGATGTTTTGGTCACCTGAACACAGCAGAACTCACACCTGAGTCCAAGCCCAAGTCCTGGACCTGAACGCAGTACCTGAGTCCAGGGAGGCTCTGGGACTGGTCGGCAGATGCTCCACCTTCACCTGGACCAACTCAGTCTCCTCGGTTCTGGTTTTGGTTCTGTGTCGAGGACTCTTGGAGCTGCCTTTCCTCCTCAGGGGGCTGCTCCTCCTGGGGTTTCTGCTCCCACCGGGGTCGCTGAGGTCCACCAGGTCCAGAGCTGTGGGCAGAACCGAAACACAACGGATCAGCGACACAAACTGAAGGCAGCAGAGGTTGGTTCTTGAACAGACTTCAACTGGACCTTATCTGAACCTGTTGCACATTTCATCAGATCACATTATTTAAATGATGAAAACAACGACGAGTTATCAGAGCCCAGCAGAACCCTGACGAACCCAGCAGTCCTCCTGACCAACAAGCAGCTGAAGAACCTGAACTCTGAGGTTCTGTGGGTGGAACTAACAGTTACTGATCAACCTGAGGAACTCTAGCAGAACACAGAGTTCTGAACATGTGAGAGGTCCGACTGGATCTCTTCTATACTCTGGGCCTGTGGGTCCACCAGAACGCAAGAAGAGGAGGACAGAAGGAGGAGCAGAACCAACCTGCTGCGCTGGAGCTCAGTGGTTGGCTGGCGTCACTGCGGCTCTCAGACAGGAAGTCATCGATGGAGGGGCTCAGCAGGGGGCGGCTCTCCTGCTGCTCGCCAACCAGCTGTGGGGAGGGGGAGGGGCCTCGTTATTGTTTACTGTGCACCGTGAACATAAACAAAACAGAACAATGTGTGAGCTAAAAAAACAAACAAACCTGCTTGTTTGTTTAAACAAACAAACAAACAAACAAACAGAAATATCAGATAGTCAGAGGACGATGTGATGGTCCACCAGACAAGATCCAGGACTGGAGATCCACCAGTTGTGTCTGTTTGTGTTTGTTGTGCTCATGTGAGCAGCAGCATTGATCACCAGTTTAATATTGTCCCTCTCATAGTGTCTACTACTCTTGTCAACTACCAGTTGGGAAACTGTGTGTTGATCTAAAATAACCTGCTGTGGTGCTAATCAAACAATCTTAAAACAGCAGAAACTGAGCTGAACTCACCGCTGCTGAAAATACTGCAAGTGTCTCAGTACTATAGTAATACTGCAACTGTCTCAGTACTACAGTAATACTGCAACTGTCTCAGTACTACAGTAATACTGCTGCAACTGTCTAGTAGAGTGCTGTACGAATGGGTAAATAAGGCACAGATTGTGTTGTAAAGAGCTTTGAGTATCTTGATAAGATAGAAATGAGCTATGTAAGTAGTCCATTTACTATCCTGATGCTGCTCAATAATCCAGGTAGAAAAATCTAAAAACGTTAAATCTGGTCCTCTGGACATTCAAAAAAACAAAACAAAGCAAAACAAAGAAAATCTAGAAACGTTTCGTCTTCCATCCAAAACACTTCCTCAGTCTGAGGTGCTGTATTCAGCTCAGTCTCTTAAATAGCACCTTCTCAGAGTGGATCAACCAGTTTGCTGCTGACAACCAGAACCAGCTGATCACATGCTCAAGAAGGACCATCAGCCTAACAATGGATCATTAGCACACTGATGGCTGTTTACTACTCACAGAGGGTTGAGTGATACTAGCCTTGAATGAAGATGTTCACATCCTGGACAGAGAGGAACGATGGTTTGAGAGAGGAGTAAAGGAGGCCATCTTTGTGAAAAGAAACCGTCCATCATTAAACAGGGGCGGAGCCTCCGGGTTCAACTGTCCCCCTCTTACAATGCTGTGATTGCTAGTATCACTAGTTCCTGGAACTGTGAGGAGCAACTGGTCCGCTGACCTCAGGGAACGTGGTGGGACATACGGTTGTAGCAGATCAGAGAGATGGGGGGGGGGGGGGGGGACACTGTTCAGTGATTTGTAGACATACATGAGTATTTTGAACTGGATTCGAAAGTGAACCCGTAACCAGTTCAGGGGTTCCAAAACTGGTGTAATGTGCTCTCTTTTGCCTGTACTGGTTAAAAATGGGGCTGCTGCATTCTGGACCAGTTGTAGTCGTGCAATGGAGGTCTGACTGATACCAAACAGGAGTGAATTGCAGTAATCAAGCCTAGATGTAATGAATGCATGTATTACTGTCTCCAGGTTCTTTTTGGACAATATGGGCTTCAGTTTAGACAGCCGCCTCAGTTGGAAGAAGCATGATTTAAGTCATGTTTACATGATTGTTAAGTTTCAGGGAAGGGTCCATTATCACGCCCAGATTAGTGACTCTTTGTTTTTCTGACAGGGTTAGAGCGGAGAGGTCGATGCAGTGGTTTGTGATCGTGTCATTGGGAGGGAACAACATGACTTCAGCCTTCTTTTCATTGAAACTTAAGAAGTTTAAAGCCATCCAGTCCCTGATGTCAGCCAGACAGTCGAGCAGAGGTTGAATAGAGCATGTACCATTGTGTCTTAGGGGGAAGTAAATTTGACAGTCATCGGCATAGAAGTGGAAGGGCATGTTGTGTTTCCGGAAAATAGCACCAAGCGGCAGCAGGTATAAAGAGAATAGGAGGGGACCCAGGATGGAAATTTAATTTCCCCCAGGGGACAATAAAGTATATTCTATTCTATTCTATTCTATTCTATTCTATTCTATTCTATTCTATTCTATTCTATTCTATTCTATTCTATGTCCTGACTATATGCACAGAACTTCTACTTGTCCTGACTGTATGTTCACACCATCTACATGTCTAGACCCCCTACATGTCCCGACTCTCTACATGTGCAGACACTCTACAGGTCCTAATTATATGTCCAGACC